TGATACATAATTATTCAGTGTACATAATAATACAGTGATACATAAATAATAGTGTTACATAATTTAATACAGTGATACATAATAATAGTGATACATAATAATAGAGCTAAATAACATTCCAGTGTACATATAATAGTGATAACATAATAATACAGTGATAACATAATAATACAGTGATACCAGATAATATAGTGATACATAATAATACCAGGATAGATAATTAATGTGTTACATAATAATACAGTGAAACATATAATAATACAGGGGAACATAATAATACAGTGATTACATAATAAGACTGTGAACAGAATACTACAGTGATTCAATTTATAATACAGTGAACTTATATAATACAGTGATACATGATAATACAGCTGGACATAATTAGAATACAGTGATACATAATTCTCAGTGAACATAATAATAACATGTGAAATAATAACTTACTGTGATACATTTAATACAGTGATAGACTTAATAATACAGTTGATACATATAATATAGGTGAACATAATAATACAGTGATACATAATAATTAGTGATTACATAATAATAGTGTACTTAATATAAGTGATTCATAATAATAGTGATACATAATTATACATGGGATACATAATAATGTGATACATAATGAATACAGTGATTCATAATAATACAGGATCATAATAATGACGGTGATACTTAATAATACAGTGATACATAGTAAATACCGTGATACATAATTTAATAACGGATACATAATAATACAGTGATACATAATAATATAGTGATACATAATAATAGTGATACATAATAATAGTGATACATAATAATAGTGATACAATAATAATACTCAGTGATACATTATTAATAGTGATATAATAAATACAGTGGATACATAATAATACAGACTGATATCAAATATACGTGAAAGATACATAATAATACCGTGATACTTAATAAATTATAGGTGATAACATAATAATAGTGATACATAAGTAATAGTGATAGATAATAATACAGTGAATACATAATAAATACAGGTGATAAATAATAATACAGTGATCATAATAATACATTGATACATAATTAATTTAGATGATACATAATAATTAGTGATACATAATAATAGTGATACATAATAAGTATACAGTGATACGCTGATATAGGTGATTACATAATAATAGTGATACATAATAATACAGTGATACATAATAATAGAGTGATACATAATAATACAGTGATACATAATAATACAGTGAAACATAATTAATACAGGGATACTAATAATACAGTTTGATACATATATTTACAGTGATACATAATACTTATGATGATACATATTTAATTCAGTTGATACATAATAATACAGTGATACATAATATTACAGTGATAATAAGAATCAGTGAGTACATAATAATACAGTGATACACCAATAATACAGTGATACATAATTATACAGTGATACATCATAATACAGTGATACATTATAATACTGTGTATAACAGAATAATACATGTTGATACATAATAAATACAGTTGATAGTGATACTTATAATACCAGTGATAGACATAATATGACGTGATACATACATATACAGTGTCATCTGTATTATTACTGGGTCACTGTCAGGGAATAGAAGTATTTGCTCGTGTCCTGTAAGGGCAAGGAATTTGTTCCTGGGTCACTGTGCTGGGACAGGAAGTAGTTCTGGGTCTCTTGTAAGGGCCAGAAAGAAGTTCCGGGGTCAATGTCAGGGCCAGGAATAGTTCCTGGGTTACTAATTGTTCAGGGCCAGGAATTTGCTTCCTGGTGTTACTGTCATTGGCCAGGAATTAGTTCTGGGTTTGTAGGGCAGGAATTAGTTCCTGGGAGTCACTGTACAGGGCCAGGAATTAGTTCCTGGGTCACTGTAGATAGGCCATGAAGTAGTTCCTGGGTCACTAGTCAGGGCCAGGAAGTAGTCCTGTGCACGATCAGGGCCAGGAATTTAGTTCCTGGGTCACTGTCAGGCCAGGAGATTAGTTTCGGGTCAGTTGTCAGGGCCAGAATTAGTGACGGGGTCACTGTCAGGGCCAGGATATTAGTTCTGAGTCACTGTCAGGGCCAGGAAGTAGTTCCTGGGTCACTGTCATCGGCCAGGAAGTTGTTCCTGGGTCACTGTCCGGGCAGGAATTAGTCCTTAGTCACTGTAAATTCCTTTACCGCGGCCCCGGCATGGATATGGATGCACTTCCACCCACAGAATGGATTTGGGATGCCACTACCACCCACAGCTCATGGGATAGGCGATGCATTACGCACCACAGCATGGATATGGGATGCACTACCACCCTACAGCATGGTTATGGGATGCACGCTACACCCCACAGCATGGATATCTGATGCATACCCTCACCAGTGCATGGATATGGGGATGCACTACCACTCCTGCATGGATATGAGAATGCTACTACACCCACAGGCATGGATCATGGGCGTGCACTACCACCCACAGCATGGATACGGGGTAATGCACTACCCCCACAGCATGGATATGGGATTGCATACCCCCCAATGCATGGATATGGGTGCACTACCACCCACAGCATGGATTCTGGGATGCACTACCACCCACAGATGGATTTGGGGATGCATACCACCCACAGCATGGATATGGGATGCACTACCACCCACAGCATGGATATGGGATGCACTACCACCCACAGCATGGATATGGGATGCACTACCACCCACAGCATGGATACGGGATGCACTACCACCCACAGCATGGATATGGGTTGCACTACCACCCAAAGCCATGGATTGGGATGCCTTACCACCACAAGCATGGATATTGGTGATGCACTACCACCTACAGCATGGATATGGGATTGCACTACCACCCCACAAGCCTATGGATATGGGAATGCATACCACCCACATAGCATGGATTGTGGGATGCATACGCTCCCACAGCATGGATATGGCATGCACTAACCACAACAGCATGGGATATGGGATGCACTACCACCACATGCATGGATATGGGATGACACTACCACCACAGCATGGACAAATGGGATGCACTACCGCCCACTGCTTGGATATGGGATGCACTACCACCCACTGCATGGATATGGGTTGCATCTACCCCCACAGCATGATATGGGATGCATACACCCACGATGGATTAGGGATGCACTACCCCCCACAGGCATGGATAATGGATGCACTACCCCCACCGCATGGTTATGGATGGGCGCTACCACCCCACAGCCTTGGATATGGGATGGCACTACCCCCACAGCATGGATATGGGATGCACACTTACCACCCACAGCATGGATATGGATGCACTTCACCCACATCATGGTATAGGGATGCCTACCACCGCAGCATGGATATGGATGCACTTCACCTACAGATGGAAATGGGATGCCACTTACCACCCACAGTCATGGATATGGGATGCATACCACCCACAGCATGGAAATGGGTTGCACTGCCACCCACACAGCATGGGTAAGGATGCACTACCGCCCACAGCAATGGATATGGGATGCACTACACCCCAGCATGGATATGGGTTGCACTACCCCCACAGATGGATATGGGATGCACTTCCTCCCACTGCATGGATACGGGAACTGCACTACCCCCACATCATGGAAATGGGATGATACCCCCAGCAGGAAATGGGATGCAATACCACCCACGCATGGGTATGGGACTTGCCAGACTACGCCCATCAGCCATGGATATGGGATGCACTACGACCCACGCAGGATATGGGAATGCACTTACCTACTCCACAGCATGGATATTGGATGCACTAACCCCCAGCATGGATATGGGTTTGCACTACTACCACAGCATGGATATGGGAGGCACTACACACCCACAGCATGGATATGGGATGCACTACCACACCACAGCATGGATTATGGGATCACTACCACCCATGCAGCATGGATATGGATGCATCTACCACCCAGAGCTCAATGGATATGGGATGCACTACCACCCCACAGCATGGATTTAGGGTGGCACTACCACCCACAGCATGGATTTGGGATGCATACCACCATCGCAATCGGATATGGGATTGCACTACCACCAACGCAGCATGTGATATGGGATGGACTACCACACACAGCATGGATATGGGATGCACTTCCACCACACCAGATGGATATGGGATGCACTACACCCAACAGCATGGATTGGGATGCACTACCACCCACAAGCATGGATATGGGATGCGACTACACCACAGCATGGATTTTTATGGGATTTGCACT